TGGAAATATATATGCATCTGAATAATATTTGCATTAAATAAATATATATAGATTTGTAACTGTTTATAATGACATATCAACATGTTTTTCTTTGTTGTATTTCACTTGTTTGTTAAAACACTTTCTATGTGTTTTATTCTCTTCTCAATAATAAAAATGAGTAAAAAAGTAAAAATAAGTAAAAAAAGTAATAATTAGATTGGTAATATCTGCAGGTGGAAAATTCTGGCTGTGTAAGGACATAATGAAGAACAAGTAGGACCTGCACATAAAGATGCCCTCCTGTGCACAGGCTTCCTGGATGGCAATTCTGAAAAGTGAGGATGGGGACCTCTCCCCAGAATGAGAATGGAAACTGCACTCGGCTGGCCAGGGTGTACGGCACCCCTTCCCCCGGGACCCAGCCCCCAAGCCTTGCTGCCCACCCACCATGCAGGGGAATGCAAGCCTGCTTGGAAGGGTGAGAAAGCAAGCAGACACTCAAGGACCAGGCTGGGGAGCCCCACCACTTGGGGGCTGGGACATGGCAGGCCCTTCCTAACTGCAGCCGCAGGAACCGGTCTTTTATACATGTGCTTGCAGTGCTGTCTTCGTCTCACCCCCAGCCCCAGGAGAGGTGATTTGCAGCTTCTTCTCCCAAGACCATTTCTGCTGTGGAGGCAACCCTGCCTGTGCCCCGGGCAAAGGGGTTGGGGTTGCCTGGTTCCTACTGGCCACCTTTGAAAGGCCGCTGGACCTGTGTTACTAGCACTTCTTGAGAGAGCTGCACAGAGGTCCCTCTCAAAGGGGCCCAGTTCTACCAGCTGCGATTCCTGGCTCTATCCCCGTGACGGCATTACAGGTTTGTCACTGCTTCTGCCGACCCTGGAGGTCCCACGCGCATTCTCTTCACGGTTTGGATTATCTGGGGGGAATAGTACCATTTTGCCTATTGCACCCACGTCCAGTTAGTCAGGCCCCTTGCCTGATGCCTAAACCAGCCATTCAGGGCTCCTACCTACGTGCCTCCATTCCCATCTCTTCACAGTTAGGAAAGACTGGTGCTTATTTTTCCTGTAAGAAGATGATGCTTGGCAGGAGAGGAAACAAAGTTCCAGAGGCATCTCAATTCCTGCAGGAAGACCAAATGGGAATTCTCAAGGAATAACTGGACTTGCCAGGATTTCTTACTAATATTCTGCTGATTGCCATCTGCAACTGCCCACCACAGTGAAAATCCAGCCAAAGTTACTTTAGTCTTCCTTGCTCTTTCTCAGACACTCTCTGTGCCCATTGCATTCCACAAGTCCTCCTCTGCCATGTACTTTTTTGGGGGGGGGAGGTGGGAGGAGTTCAAAGTGGAACATACTCTGGATTCTAGATGCAGGAGAGCCAGATTGGAGTACTCAATTCACTGGAAGGGCTGCCCTCACACTGATAGATCTTGGGAAGTTCATGCACACTGGCGTCTCCATCAGTTTCACCTCTGGTATCTGTGGAACCCTCTCCAACTGCTGAAGGTGTCTTCAGACCCATCTGACTCTGATGGGGGGGGGAAATGGCTTCAGGCAGAAGGACGAGGACTTCTCTGTGGTCCTCCCATCCTTCTGCCCTAGTCTTCATCATCAGAACTTGAGACTGCTCAGGGTTGGGAAGGGTGTTTGCTTCAGCTACATGCTACCTCACTGCCCTTCCCAAGAGGGGGGCAGTGGGGGAGTCTCCTGTCCAATTATGAGGAATGAGGACTGTCTTTGGATTAATTGCCTGGCACCTTATTCTGACATAAGAATAGGGCACCGGGAAGAGGGTCTTCTCTTTCTTTGGACTCTGTGAAGGAGCAGGGCAGGAGCCAGGAGGGGAAGGTGAAAAATGGAGTTCTCTGAGCTTGGGAATGACAATGGACACTGGCAAACAAGTGCAGAACTCAAACAAGTGGACATTCCATCCATATCTTGTAAATGGAAAGCCAGCTCCCCCTTAAAACGAGAGAGAGTAAGAAGATCAAAGTCATCAAGGAGGACCTGCCTTAAAATACTTGCTGACAAGAGAGGGACTAAAGGGCATTCCTCTCCTGCACGCGACACTTGGCTAACTAACAAGAGAGCTAAAACGCAGCTTGTAAGTGGCAGGTGAGTTATTGATCGTCCCTCAGTTAGTTTAAGTGTGACATCTGCATTGCACATATTACCTGTCAGACCCATTCCACGCACATTCAAACTTGTCAAAGATGCAGTCATTTTCATAGAGTGAACACAATTTGCTTCTAAGGTAATCGTGAACCTGTTTGGTGCAGAAAAGAATGGCATTATTATTCACGGTCAGACCATATCGCAGTGGCCCTTACAGGCCATGGGTCCCAGAACCCCTAGAGGCAGTCCGATTGCCTTCAGGCTTCTAAGTGGCCTGTAAGCATTAATAAAATATGGTTAGAAGAACAAACCACTGTCTGAAGTTACCCTCTTGAGAAGGTAGATTCACCTGACCATATGTTTTGATCCCTCGGTGAAGAAATGGCACTGTTGAGCACCCAGGAGAAACCCAAGTCTGACACTGACATCTATATGGAGGTATAATTTGCCCCAGCTTCCCCCTTCTACTGCTACTGAGATGGCTCCCTTTCATCTTCCAACCACATATTCCTCCCATGATGGCAGGACCTGAGAAGGGTCTGTCCTGGAGACACCAAAGCCAAGACATGCTTTTTGGATACCCTCTTCCCACGTTGTAGACCTCGCTCTCTCTAGGCACATCAGGGCCTTTGAACATATTGGATGTCCCAGAGAATATTTAATAAGAGCTGCTTTGAAGTGGAAATGCAACTCAGGAGTTGGAACCTGGTTTGTTCTTATCCTATTAAGTAACACTTTGGGATGGGTTTAACAGAATTGTTATTATGACTTTGGATCAATTGCTGTCTGTTAGAAATGTCCATGTTCTTCTTGCCTACATCCCCATGATTTAGAATCTGCCAAGAGATCAAGGGTTTAGTCGGCTAAAAGAGTGATCTTGCAACAGGGAGAACTCTCCATCTTAGTTACAGTAATGGATGGTTTACATGTGTCAATGTTAAATTAATATATTTTGTTTCAACAAAATGAAAAAGACTTTTCAACAATATGGTCAAAGATTTTGCAGTCTGTTTATAACTTCATTTCCAGATTTTTTTTTCTTTTTGACTATTACTTGTTTTTATTAATCAAAGAATAATACGGTATAAAGACCAAATGAAAAGGAATTGCATCTTTGACTGGCGTTCTATGGAAATTTGGGTTGCAGCCAGGAATTATTCAAGTTATGTTGTAAGATATAACATGAGCCCAGAAAAATGTGTGTGTGTGTTTGCAAATCTGCAGTTGATATTACCAAAAAAATAAAGTTCTTTTAAAATTTGTTTAATCCGCTTGTTATTCTTCCTAATGTGCCAATAACTATAGGGATTAGTTTCAAGATTTTTCCCATAATCTACCTATTGTTAGACCTCTATATTTTATGTTTTTTAATTTTTTTCCTCGATCCTGCCGTCCTCAGAGATTGCCATGTCTAAAAAAATCACCCTTTTCTTTTCAATAATTGAATTATCCATGGTGTCTTTTTTTTTTTTAGAATTTGCTGCTGTTTGATGCATGTTGAATCCTTGATTTTATCACATTTGTTTGTAATGCTTGTTCTTAAACTGCAAAAACGAATCCTTTGGTTTCCTTCTTGTTGGTGCCAGCTTGTGACCGTTGCCAGCTCCTGGTCTTCTCCGCTTGATTTTCAGTTTCTTTTACATACTGGCCAGGCATTGGTTTAATTCTCCAATCTTATAGTTCATTTCCAACAGTTCATTTTTAAAATCATTTTTTGGTTCTGCTGCCGTCAGGATGTTTCCTTTGCAAATTGTCATGAGCGTTTTCTTTTTGCTTGCTGCAATGCAACCATTTCATCCACGTTTTTCTTCTCCAGCTGTCTGCGTTGCCTGAAGTAAAGCACGGCCTCCAATTTGTCATGCTAATAGTAGCTGATCAACCTCCTTTGAGAGTGCAGTGTCATCAGCTTTCAGATTTTCCACTCAAAATTGTCCCATTCAAGCTGTTTCTGGCCCACTGTACCGAAGTGTAACTGACTGTTGGTATCGCCCATTTGCTGATGCTTTTGACTGTATTTCCACCATCTGACTTTGCAGTTAGAATTGCTTTTCTCTTTTGTTTTAAATATTCTGAACTGCTTTTCTTTTTTAAGTTCACCGAGTTGTCTGGTTTGAGCATTCCTAGATACCTGTAGCTTTCTTCTATGAGCAAAGTGTTTATGAGAGTCCCATTTTTGAGCGCTAGCCCTTCATTTTGTTCAGTTTTTCTTTTCTTTATGCTGAGCACTGTACCTTTGTGAAATCCAAATTCCATTCTGATGTCCTCACCATATATCCTTACAGTATTAGGGTTAGGGTTTCATCCGGTTCATCCAGTCCGTTTCCAGTTCCTTCAGTATTTACCATCCAAGCTGTTTTCTACTTTTTCACAGCTTCTTTACAACATTCTGAATGTTTGCACGAAGGCCAAAGATTTCCAAACGTTCCTGCACCCAACTATGTGGGAGAGAACCAAGCCCCTTTTTATAATTGTTCTGCCCCCCCCGCGGGCCTTCCAGAAGGGCGTCCAGGCCTGGCTCTGCCAATTTGCATGGGGCCCCACAGGGGTTCGCAGCACTGCGGGGGGTGGGAGGATGCTCCCCCAAGCCTTTTTTAGCCTCGTCTATGTTTTTATAGTTCTTTTTACTTGTAAACCCCCTACAGTCCCTTATACGGTGAGATGGGCGGCGTATAAACTTGATTAAGAAACAAACAAATGAATAAGTAATCAATCCACACCATTTGTGAGTTGGCTTTTCTTTGCTTTTAGTATCATTTTATCAATCAGCAATTGATCTTTTATTCTTCCTTAAAACTCAGCATTTACCTGTTTCTTCAGGTGGATGCAATTAATTTTTGAACACGCAACTTGAAATCGCATTTGCTGATTTGCTGCCCCGGCCCTTTGGAGCAGCCTCCCCCGAGATGTGGAGGGCTGTGAAGACCTGGCTCTTCCCCCAGGCTCTGGGCCAGGATGGAAGACAGCCCAGCAGAGGCAAAGGTAGAGCAGGTGTGATGATGTGGTGGGGCTTTGTGGGTTACATTTATTCTGATTTTATTGGATGTCATTGTGGGCCGCCTAGGATTATCATGCATAAGACCAGTGGCCATATAAGTTTCCTAAACAAATAAGTTAGCAGTTTGAACATTGTTAGCAAGCAAGTAATTGGTCTCAAATTGCAATTACACCCTTGTCTCTGTCTTTTATTATTAAAAATGTTCTACTAGTTGCCATTCATTCTTCACTTTTCCCAGCAGTAATATTTCATTAAATTGTGTCGCCAATTCACGTTAATCTTTTCCTGATCCACTCCAGTTCTTAAGCTTCTTGACTTGTTTTTTAATCGTGTCTGATGTTATGATTGTGTCATCCATTTTGATTGAGCCAATGTTCTTCTCAATCTATTTTATCCATTTTCATCTTTATTAAGTTCTTTTGGATTATTCCTGATATAACTCCAAAATGTTAATGTTTCATCTTTATCAGGGCAAGCGCCTATGCTTGTAGTATTTCTCAGCAATGCTTTATAAAACAAATGCTGGTTGGTTTTAAACTGCTGATTTTGTCATTCTACCTTTATATAGTTCAGTTTTACTTGAAATAGATGTGACGTTCTTTTAATTCTTCTGAGACTTCTTTAATTGATTATATATTTCCTATAAACTTCCCCTGATCTTAGTATTTTTCAATTTTCTGTCCTTCAAATTCTTCAGATTGCCAATATCAGCTTGTAATTTATTGATATTTTTTCCAATCAAATTTTCCATTTTGGTGATTGGTTTTGTTGCTTTAGTTTTACAGCTCTGTATCCCAACTCTGATTTCACTGTTGCTGTGCTATAAATTAGATGACTGGTTTCAGCCAACTTGTTTCAATACCAGATTTGTATCTTTTGGAACTCTTAAAGGTTCTTTTCTTTTTCAATACTGGAAGTCTTTCCCTATAGGTTTTTTTTTCATGTGTTCAGTTCCACCTGTCTGTCTGAGTGCTACGTTCATCATTCTTTTGCTTAATGTTTTTATGTCTTCCATCATCATTGCTATCTTTCTGAAAAGTTAATAAAATTTGATTTTGCTCTTCAAAATTTTTAATCATTTAATAATCTTCAATTTCATTGTATTGTTGTCCGTATTATCAGCATTCCCAGCTAATTCTCTAATTCTTGAATTCGGTATCCATAAAAACTGTTATTATTATTTATTTATTTATTTATTTAAATGTATTGGCCGCCCAAGTCCAGTGGATTCTGTTCTAAGATAAATCTTGTTCTAAGGATAAATCTTCATTGATCCATTAATCGCTGTCTGGTCCTCTGGGTAGTTGTATTTCTAATTATCGAACATTGTCTTCTGAAATCCCCTAGTTTTAGGGTTTGATTCAAAACAGCATTTCATTAATTTAATTAACCATTCATTTTACTTCCAATCACTTTGCATTCCCCGCCCTGATTACTTAGTGGGACGAGCTGAGCCAGCCCCAGAGCCCGTTTATCAGCTGATACCAGGAGCCACAGCAGTGGGCACGGTCCCTGCAGACCTGGGCAGTGACTGGCCCAATGCAGAATTTTCATTTCATGTGTTTCCCATTGAAAATGAGTTTGGGTCGCGCTCTGCTTGGCCTCTCCAGCCAGACCGGTCTGGTATGGTTGAACCTGCCAACAAGTAAGCTGCCACCAACACAGCGCCTGGCATCATCACCATCATCATCATCATCACCATCATCATCATCATCATCGGGCATGTTACTGATATTACTGATTAATGGTGTTCTACATATATATACTTTCTTAAAAATCAGTTTAGCACAATACAAGAAGAGACCTCAAGGGGGACAGAAACCCAGGTTACTGTCAGTTTTGTTTCTAGCATGAGAAGCACACTCTTAAAGAAAGCATCCGGGAGGGAGAGGGCAAGAGAGGCGGGGCCGTCTTCCTTCCCTTGCTGCGGTGGGGCCAGTGGCTCCTTGCCAGCAGGGCTGCAGAAGGCTCCAAGCCCCGGTCCTAGTGCAACAAGGAAAAGACCCACCTCTGTGAGAGGTTGACAGGACACTCCTCTTTGGCACAGTGGCGCAGGCACTCAGTGTCTATGCCAGTCACATCACTTTCAGTGAATGGTTTGGAACATAAAAAGACATGGAAAAAATACCTGATATATTTCTATAGGCTTCGTTTCCATATTCAGATCCCAAACTTTGACAGTGAGGTAATCCCTCGCTAGCAGGTAGCGTCCACTGTGGCTGAATTTTACATCTGACACAGAAGAAATAATTTCTGAGAAAAAGGAACGGCTACTGGGATCTTCTGGTTCTTCAAAAACTGAGGAAGGAAGGCAGGGAGGGAGGGAAGGGAAAAGTTTAGGATAAAATATGTCACATTTCTACACAGTTGCTTTTCGTATAACATTCAACATTTCTCATTTTATGAATTATTTGAATGAAATGCTTTTACTTGCAATGCACATCAAAGAAAGCCTCTCCCCAGATGCACCCTTCCCAGTTCTTGTGAGGTGGAGCCCATCTCTTGTCGAGAGTCCCTCAGCTCACAAACACGTCCCACTATCAAACAGGGCAACCCACTGGTTCCCATCAGCACCACCATCCTACGTAGTATGTATCTTGGCCACATGGTGGAACTACTGGGAACACTAAAACTGGATATTTGCTGCGCAGCTGTAATTGTAAGCACCAGCTAATGAACGATGGAAGGCCACGTCTCTTGAGATGCAACTGGTAGAACGTCTTAGATTGGGCTGGCCGGCTCGTCGTGCATTGCATCAGCTATGTATGACTCCGAAGGGTGCAAAAGCAAGCTTTACTGAAGGGGCAAGACATCAGCTATTTGCAGCGATGCACCTCGTTTGTGCACAGCACAGGCAGACGATTTCATCCCACTGTGCCTTTTAGTGGAAGGCAACCCTTTGGTTTGTATCCATAAAATATGAGACAATCAGAATGCGTGAGTTAGAAGTAAGAGGTACATCAGCAGAGCTGTTGGTAGGTAGGAAGCTGAGGGCTATGCCCCCATGGGAATCCACCAGCGATGCCCATCTGCCAAAGAACACAACACAGCTGCAAAGGATAAGATCCCATCTATTTCAGGTGGAGTAGAAAGGAACCCATAAGGCACGTGCAGATGGCATGCTCCTCTGCACTATATTGCCAGTACAGCAAGTTCATGACAAAAACATGAGCCCGCAGCATGCTGCAGCTGTCAAAATGGCCAACGCAAATTTGGGCTGCAGCAACAGAGGTTTAATGTCAAGACCATGAGAAGTTGTGGTTCCACTCTATACTGCACTGGTCAGACTGCTCCTCGAATCCTGTGTCCAGTCATGGTTGCCACAGTACAAGAAGGACTCTGAGGTACTAGAAAGATTGCAGAGAACAGCAATAAAGATGGTGAGGAACTGAGAGGCTAAATCTTATGAAGGAGGACTAAATTATTAAAAGGATCAGACTAGAAGACCTCCAAGGTCCTTTCCACTGCCATGAGCCAATGCTTCTATGAAATTCCTTTTCTAGATGAAAACTTTTGAGGGGGGTGCCTTAAGTCAGCGTTGTTTCTTGGACAAGCCCCCAGTTTTCTTGGCAAGATTTTTCAGAAGGGGTTTGCCCTCTCGCCTCCTGCTTCTTCCTGGGCTGAGAGAAAGGGACCGGCCCAAGGCCACCCAGCCGGCTTTCATGCTTCAGGCAGGACTAGAATTCACCATCTCCTGCTTTCTGGCCTGGTGCCTTTAACCACCACACCCAACTGGCTCAAATCAAACTGCCTCAAACTAGGACACCCAACTGGCTCACCTATCACCACCAATTTCTTATCTGCCATAGACTGAGGTGGGAATGGGAACCTCTCGCAAGGCAGCTTCCAGAAATCTCCATTAGATCAGAATGCTTTCTGTCTCTTATAAGGAAGCCCAGGAGGGCCGCTTGGCTAAAGCCCTGGCCGAAGACAATGGGCAAGTAGTCCTCATTTAATCCCTTGAGGTCGAATAGGAACTTGCCCACCCTGTTAGTAAGTCTGAGTGCCTATTCATCACGTGCATGTCTCCTTACCATGCCCACATATGCCTATTCTTCACACACTCACCCTCCACCACCCTGCTGCAGAAATACAAACTTTGCACGCACACACATGTACTTCTGCTATTCACCCGCAGTGGCATTATCAAAATCTCTACGTTTTGCAAATATATCTACCCAAACCCATCGTTTATCAGGCAACATCGTTCCTCACAGGTTCTCGTTGTCATATATGTTTATGGATGGGCCCCTCACAAGCACTCACCCTGCACATATCTGTTCCTGGGCATCGGGACACCTCTAGATCAGAGTCCTTGAGCCTTAACCTCATTCCCGTGATCCGGACTGGGACTGATAGCAGCCATCAAGGGTTATGCATTCATAATTCAGACTGTTGGCTACAAGGAACGAGTGATCTTGCTGGTTAAAGTGCAGTACTGTAGGCACACGCACAAACACACAGACACTTGAACCAGTCCTGCTCAAGACTATCCCAAGCAGCGCCAGGCCTGTGATGAGAGGGCACCGAAGCACTGAGCAGGAGAGCCAAGGGGCCAGGGACAGCACCGGCATTCTCTTCGCTCCTTCCTGCGGCCCAGAGAGAGGGAACGAATACCAGGAGGGGACGACTGGCCACGCAGATGGTGTGGGCCCTCGATCATGGGGTGCGTGTCCACAGAGAAGGACTCTGGGCAAGAGATGGGGTGCATCTCAAGAGAGCAGGGAAGGATGTTGGAAGGAGCGAGGGAAAGAGAGCCCCACAATTAGTGCAGTGCAAACCCTGGGAACAGAACTGGAAAGAGGGCGGAGGAGTTAGGTACCCTACAACGAGCGCCTAAACAGAGGCGGGCAGAAGTCAAGCAACATGCCCAAGGATTCCAGCGTCTCTGTCACACGCACAGAGTCTGGGGAACAAACTAGAAGAAGTAAGAGCCGAATACAGGAAGGCAAACAGGATTTTGCTGGCATTATTTAAACTTGGTGGGTGAAATTCATTGCTTGATAATCACAACATTCATCCCTGCCCCACCCCCCTGACTTGAAAAACAAAAGCTGCAATTTAAACCTCACCCAGCTTTCTTTCTGGGTACCCCGACATTTTCCTTTGAAAGCTAAGCCAGCTGAACCTGGTGGAATGTTCCTGGCGTTTGTAGCGATTAAAAATCCCCCCAGCCCTGCCTTGCAGCTCAGATGGAGCAGGATCCCCGCTACCACCTTCCTTCTCAAGTCACAGGACGAGCAGGTTAAGCCGCCCTTGAGCCCGCTGGATGCCCCCAACAGAGAGCGCCTCGCCACGCACAGCTGCCACACTGGAGGTCCAGTGAGAAGGTGGCCCCGCAACCTACGCTTGCAATGTTTGTCGCAGAGCGCGGAGGCCCTCATGTCGCAGAGCCGCAGGGACCCCTTGCTGCTGCTGTAGACGAAAAGGTTGCAGTGGTGGGGGTGGAACTCAGAGGCAGTGATGACTTCGGTCAGGTCCTCCATGTCGTCAGGTTTTATGTCTACGATGTCTGCGCGGGAAGGCTGATTAAGGAACACTGGACTTTCGTCGTCTGCAGCCACTCATTTTTATAACCATGTTTCAGTGTGTGGGTCATGGAGGGAGAGTCGTGGACTTGTTCCTGTGTGTGTGTGCGTGTGTGTGTGAGTGTCTGGGAGAGAAAAAGAGCCGCTTGTGCGTGTGCAAGAGGGATGGGCCTCTGGGCAGCACAGAGAGACTCGTCCCTGGGAGAGAGAAACTGTCCGCGCGGGAGGCAGAGGGGTGCAAAAGGGATGCAGACGGATGGAGGGGCAGGTGAGGGCGGGGGGGTGCTTGTAATGCCAGAGGGAGAGAAAAGAGGAGACAAAACGGGGTTTTGGGGGTGGAATCTTTACGTGCCTAACAGAGAAATAAGGAATGTGCGCATGTGAGAGAGAGAAGCCGAGAAGCGTGTGCTGGTTTGCACCCCAGGTGCCCCAAGCCTATTGCCAGTCAAGCCCTACGTGCCATCAGGTACAGCTGTGCCAAGGATACTGAAGCTCCGGTCTGTAATTGCCAAATGCCAAAGGTTAATCCTGAGATCGTCTGCAGACATGTAGGTCTCACAGTCGCTGTTCACGGAAATGGAATTCACGTGATAGGTGTGGCCGTTTGCAAAAACTCTTCTTGGGCTGACTTCAACCATCAAGTCGGTGGGCTTCAGTACAGGCACCTACACAATAAATACACTTATGCGTTATTTCAGATCTGTAGGGTTCTTCTTCGATGGGTTTCTGAACGCAGCATGCCTTTCAACATTTTTACAATACATCTGTATCTGTATCTGAGAAACAAACATTTAGCCTAGCTCTACAATACATAGTGCTAGACGTTTTAAAAGGTAAGAAAGCCCCAGGTTTGATCATACTTGTTTTATAATGCCAATATTATTTTCTCTTGCACTTTTTCCCACTGAAAATGGCACTCTTGTGTTGAATTCTTCCCCTGGCCTTGTGACATGATGCCAACAAACTCTGAATTTCTCCTGCTTCATAATATTGGTAGTGGAGGACTACGGGTCCCAGAAGACTTTGCAACCAGCCGGGAGAGGGAACACTGAGAGGAAAAATGGAGAAAGAAACAAAAGGGGCACCTGCGAGACCACTGTGAAAGAGCAAACAGCTCTGACTTCTCCGGAGCGGTGTCAGGAACCTTCCAAGAAAAGAAGGCACCCGTTGGCGGGGAAGGTGCAGCCCCGAAACGTCACCAGCACGTGGCTCGCTCTAGTCCTGCCATTGCCCAGCCTCCGAAGAGGAACGCAGGTGACCAGGATCTGGAGTAGGAGCTGTGGATGGAATTGCTGTCCAGCTGGACAAGGAAGAAGGTGCTTTTTGAATGGCTGCAGTGCTTGGGAACTCCAGCATGATGACTTTTTTTCAAACTTACTGGGAGAGAAATGTACCTCTTCACAAGCTACAGCTGCTCTGGACAAATATTTCTCTCCGTGCAAAAGTCTGATGAAATAGTTTAAATGTGGACATGGAATACAAGCATCTACTCAGGGAATTAGCTAAGTTGTGTGACCATGGAGATATAGAGGCAGATTTGATCTGGTGGGAAAACGCATTCACCAACCCCTTGGGACAGATATCTGCAGCAGGAAGATCTGGCAATGGATAAAGCCATTCCTTGAAAGGGTTCGAGAAGAACGTTGCCTCATGACAGCGACGGGGACCCTTGCGTTAAGGGGGCTCCTCAGTAAAAGGGGTGAAAGGGCCAGCCGGAGGCCTTGTTCCAGGGTTCGGGTCTGTTGAGGCAGACTTTCCAGTTCATCTCTGTGGATTACTGCACCGTTCCAGCGAACACTGTAACGTACTGTGCAGGCGCCATCTCTATTGCCAAAATTGGACGTCTAGCTCAGCTTTATGGCAAGAAGGCCTCTGTCCTGGTCCCAGCCAGCATGCCCAGATACAGCTGTAAGCGCTTCACTGGGATGGGATTGACGGATCGCGTCACGCACCCCAGTCATAGGCCACTGCCTCCTTGAGCAGCCGGCCTGAGGGAAGATCCAAGCCAGAGTCCAGAGCCGCGGGCAGTGGGGTGTCAGGAGGCAGCCCTGCGGGCCAGGGTGCAAGCGCAGGTCTGAGGTCCAAGGGCGGGATTCCACCAGGCAGAGGTTCCACAAGGGGAACGGGCAGAGTTCCGGGTAGCGGACGGAGGGTGTCCAGCCAAGGGTTACTTGCCAGCAGTGGCCCTGAAATGGGGACCCCACCAGGACAAGCAATCCACGGTGGGAATGCCTTGCCTCACGAGGAGCCCCTTCGCGCCGCCCATCTTGTCTTGGGGGGGAGGAGGGGCTGGGTCAGACTCTCCTCCTCTGCCACTTCCAGCTGGACAACCCCAGGGGCTCCCCGCTGTGCTTTGAGGCAGGCTGCTGTTCCCCAAGGTCGTCTGAAGGGCTGCCTCCTCCTCGGAGTTGGAGCTGGCCCTGGCAGGACGCATCTCGTAACCAGAACATGTGACAGACCGAATGCAAGGAGAAATTTTGTAAGTGCTGTTAGGATAATGGAAAAGGAAGAGGAAGGGAAGGAGGAAGAGTTTGTTTATTCTGAGAATCAGGGAGAAAAATAGATTGTGAGTGCTAATGGGAAGCAACTAGAGATGGTGATTACTACTGGGAGTGCACAAAACTTTGTATGCAGCAAACTTTATTGTGCCCTGTTTGCCAGCAAGAAATTAAAGCAGTATTTTTAACCTACGGTCAGTGCCACTTAAACACGTGCTTGCTTGGAAAAATACTATGGTTGATGATTTTGTATAGGGCCCTTTTTCTCATGTATAAGGACCTTTTTATAGAGAATCCGTTCAATTGTGTCTGGTTCTTGGAGACTGCCTGCCTGGATAAGCCCCTGCAGTTTTCTTGGCCAGGTTTTTCAGGAGTGGCTTGCCCTGGCCCCCTCCCTCCTAGGGCTGAGAGGGAGGGACGGGCCCACGGTCGCCCAGCTGGCTTTGTGCCTCGGGCAGGACCAGAACTCACAGCCTCCCTGTTCCTAGCCTGGCTGCCTTCACCACGACACCAAACTGGCCCTCCCATCAAGGCACTATTTGCTCCAAGACCACCTTTTCCTTTTATATTCTTCAGGAAGGAGACTCCGTGAACCATGTTACAAGTCCTGCTCAAAGTCATTCTCAGAGTCAGCTGGATCTGTTGAACGGTGGAACGGTACAACTTCTTATTTAAGGGGCTTGGACAAATTACCATCCTCACAAAGTTGCCATGGATGTATTCACTGTGCCCTTTGCACAGAACCTGAGACATTTACCATATGGGACAACAGACGCTGTGGAAGCTGAATCAGACACAACAAGGAGAACGGTATTATAAGAGGTACACGAAGGTCCAAGTTGGATGTGCAACGTTTTATTGTACCAAAAAGGAAATAATCACGAAATCTGTGTTTGTATCGATCTGAGAGTAATCAACAAGGCTGTGGTGCAGGAGTACCACCCTGTGCCAACAACAGATAATGTGTTGCATGACATTCAAGATGGACAGATTTTTGCTAAATTGGATGCCTTCACCAAAGGTTTTTGGTGAACAGAATTTGCACCAACCTCTCACTTTGCTTTCACTCTAATCCTCCTTTGGATCAGCCCAGCCAACCGTGATCCCAGCACCAAGTTAAATCCGTGCAACAAGTTCAATAAACAAATATGCAAAAGAAACCGAATGTAATAAATAAACATATCAAAATCCTGCTCAGGTGCTGTTGCACTTCTGCTAGAGGGCTCCTCTGAATTGAAGACATTTTAAATAATAGAATGAATTAGAATTTGGAATTCTAATTAGAATTTAGAAATCAGAAACCTAAAGAAGGCAAAAACATTCCAAGCACGTACCTGAAGTGAGGTCACTGTAGAAAATTCCTTCAGCTTTCCTTCCTCATCTTTTAAATTGTATCCCTCAGGTTTCTTATCTCGCTCAGTTATCTTCCACAGTTTGATAGTTTTATCTTGAAACAAACAAAAAAAGCCATCACAGTTATTAAAAGGAGTACATGAATCTTTTACTTGTTTTTAACATATTTATAAAACTTATTTTTGATCTTACAAAAAGGGCCAGATGTATGATTTATGTATTGTCGGTTTTTAATGGATTTTTTAAAACTTTAGAGCCATGTTTCTAGCACAGACCTTCATTAACCATGGCTAGAAATAAATCTATAGAAATCTTAAATCTATGGGAATAACTGGGGGCTTTTGGGGGGGGCATTTCCAAAGACACTTCTCGTTACATTTTTCTCCCCCAAATACGTATATTCTGCTATGTAAAAGGAATTTAGAAGTAACGGTCAATGCAGATATAAAAGAATTCCCCTAGAAATTCCTCTAATCTGGGGATTTCACTCCAGTGACATCAGTGCTGAATGAACGTCCGGCAAAAGGGAAGCCTGGAGAATCCTGCACCCCCAACATCCTTCCAACCAACTTCACTCAGCCTGGGCAGGATCCAAATGGTGCCCCTGGGAGATGGCAGAATGGCACACAACACAAGCTTCTAGGGTTAAGGGTAGTTAATTGACTCAGTGGGGCCACTGTTGTGTCAACTGCAAGATGAACAGAACAGGGCACCCTGGCAGCCCAGGGTGAAACGGCTGCCCAGACAGTGACCAGCCACTGGAAGGGCGGGGCATGCCAAACATGGCAGCCAATCACAGCTGTGAAACACTGGAAACCATTCACTCTGAAGGGCTTAGGACAGCTCAGGTCAGAAACAGCGGCCTTGATCCAAACCATGGACGGGCTGCAGGTGGAAGGAGGACAATCTCATGCGGTGAGGGGCCAAGTGGAAAGGGCGGATCTGCCCTAGGTCTCAGGAGGAATTACCGGCAAGAAATTAAGATCATGCTGCACATCTGCTTCTTCTGGAGGAATGGATCCCCCTGACAAGCAGGCACAGTTGTTTACTGAGGACCCCTCACAATGAAGGCCTGGCAGATTTTAACTGCAATAAACTATTGTTGGCCGTAAGCAGCCATTTAGGAAAGTCATTTCCTGATGTGCTAATAACCAAGATACTTTGAGATCGTGGGCAGCCAATGACCTGAAAATATCTTTAAGCAGGCCTAGTGAAAATGTTAAAATAAAAATGGATCCCAGCCAAATAGCTGGGATGAGTTTTGCAAAGGAGCTGGAAAATTAAGGAACCAATCCAAAGAGCTCAGAGGATGGTGGTTTGGGTGGGGCTTTGTGGTGTTCTGAAAATGCATCATCTCTGGTTGACAGAAGAAGTGCCATTGTAAAAAGACAAGGTGAGCTCTGCTGCTCACAGGAACAGGGAACTCTCGGCATGATCCACCAGGATTGTAGGTCAGAGCTTCCTAGAGCTTGTCCATGGTGCTTTCTGGAAATAAGATTGTCTAGAGATTAAACACTTTCCTGTGCTCTATATAGGACAAGATCCTGAAGGAGTCCCAGAAGAGGCCCTGACGCATTTCTTCTCAAGGGGCTGATCATGGATCCAGCTGTGCCAGACAGCTATAATCCAGGTGCTAACTTCCCTTTAGGGGAGCAATTGTTGAGAAGGTGCTGGAATGGCAGTCACAATCAGCTCTGGAAAAAGTGAATTATCTGGACCCTTTTCAGTCCAGGCATGGGATGGAAGCTGCATTGGGTCCTCTTGTGGATGATCCATGGTGGGATCTAGATAGGGGGAGCACAATCCTACTTGTTTTACTGGATCTCTCAGCAATTTTCAGTCCTAGTGTCCAGGGTATCCTTCTGCACCATATGCAGAATTGGGGGTGGAAGCACTATTTTATATTGGTTCTATTCCAACCTGTGGGCAATTTCATTTAGTGTATGGGGCAAGGGGTAATTGAGCCCTGAGGCACTTCAATATGGGGGGTGGTACCCCATATACACTCATATGATAAGTGTATATACATCTACCCCAGGATGATCAGAGATATAAGTCTTGACCTGGTGCCTGAAGATGTAAAAATCTGGATGGGGAGGAAAAGGTTGAAATTCAATCCAAACATGATGGTATGACTGATGATTCGGAAGCTAACTGATTCAGGACAGTTTCGACTTTCGTTCTGGTTGGAGTTGTGCTGTCCAAAAAGGAGTTTATCTGTAACCTGAGGTCCTTTTGGAGTCACAACTCTTGCCAGGTTAGCAAGTGGCAACTGTTGCTAGGAAGACCCTTGCCCAGTTTTCAGTGGTGTACCAGTTACAGTCGTTCCTGGAGCAGGAGGCACCGGTGACAATCACTCGTGATCTTGTCACCTCACAGCCAGGTTACTGTAAGTTGCTCAGAATAGAACTGCCCTTGAAGACATGCAGAGACCACGGCTGATGCAGAATCCATGGCCACAGACTTATGGAAGTGTTCTGATACTCCCACATAATACCTGTATTAAAAGGAATGGCATTGGCTGTCAGCTTGTTTCTGGGTGCAATTCAAGGTGCTGGTAATAACTATAAGAGATCTGGGTACCTATAAGGCCTTTTGCTCCAAGTAGAATCTGCCACCGCTGAGTCTACTGGTAGAGTGCTTGCTAAGAGCCTGTACTCCCAGCAAAGACAGCAGGAGAGGGTTTGGAGGCAAGCGTTGCTGCTAGAAGATCCTTCTGGTGAAACCAGTTATTCTCAACAGAATTCTTATTTTTAACATTCAGAAAAGTTGTTGAAAACCTTGCTGTTTAAGTAGGCATCTGGAGACAGGATGAGATAAGGAGGAACCTAGGAGTGTATGTCACTGCTCAGTGTGGTTCATAGTTTACAATTTGTCAATAGTTTAATTATGGTTTAATTGATATTATTTAATATTTTGTAATCTGCTTAGATTCACCACACTGAAGTGGCACAAAAGTCCTTGTAAAAAATAAATCAATAGAATTTCTGATCGTGGGTGGCCAACTAACACTTACTGATGTACGTTTGAAAAAGAGGTGCCCGAATGGTTCCAGGCTTCCCAAGAGGGGCAGTGGAACAGAAAAGTCGCACATGGAAAATATTTCACTGGTTTCAGAAATCACTTGCCAACATGTTATACCTATGGAGTACCTACTGGCAGTGCGCATGTCTCCCATCATAAGATGAAATCTTTCCTCCTCTGAGTCCCAGAAATGGGCAGTGAAGCATTAGCCCTGCCCACACGTAGCTCTTTGCTACTCTCTAGCCTCCAGGAGCCCCACCGGCCACCCATTGGTGGGGCCACAGGCACTGGGGACAACGTCAGAGGAGTAAGAGATGGAGCTTCCACTGCCTTCTCCCCCCCCCCCCCACCCGGCAGAAGTCTTGTCTGGGTGCTGATGAGGGAGCCATCGGCTGTCTCTTGCCAGATGTCAGCGACAGGAGGGAATGTTTTCTGGAACAAGCTTTCACTTGTGCTGGAGGAGGCCCAGGCAAGCTTCCTGTGGCCAGGGGACACTTTCTTTTCTGGCACGGCCTAGGCAGCAAATGCACTGTGGAGCTGGCCGGGTTGGGATCTTCTGGCCTCGGGGGGGTTGCTTGGTTTCAGGAGGGCTTACTTGATCGCTACTCAGGTAGCTGCCAAAACTGTAGCAGAGTGTTGAGGGGGGCTCATGCCCTCCATGCCCACGGCTGCCCTTCCCGATACAAGCTAAGAGCCAGCGACAACCTCCCATCGCGGGTGCCCTGTTGGCAAGAGACAGAGGCAGCCGTGAGGCAGGGCAACTCCCTTTCCATTTGAGAGAGAGTGTGACTTTCTCTTTGGGAGCCCCAGAATCACGTCCTTCCTTCCAGAAAAGCACTGGGGTTGGGCAAGATTCATGGAAGCGGGGAGGAATCTCCATCAAGAATTCAAAGGGCTTTTGGAAAACGAGCAGCTGCAAGCTGAGGATTTTGAATGACGGTGCCCCGGAGGCCCTACCCTGCTGGGGTGCATGTATCACTGTAGCTTTCCTCACCACAGGGCGTGCTGCACGTCTTGAATTCAAGATCGTCTGAGCCTGAGATCATAATCTGTAACCAACTATTACCCCCAAACCAGGCCAGAGGTCTAGTCCAGGGTGTAAGCGTCAACAGAAATAATCATGACCTGTCTACCCCACTCTGTTCTGTGCATATGTACATTGGAAAAGATAGAAGAAAGCGTATGCTCAAAATGGGGGTAGCGCATCCAGTAATGTCAACGAAGATCTACCTGACAGAGCATTAGTAGTATTAATCCTACAGTTTTACCATTTGTTGACAGAAGAGAGTGGGCTGCATTCTGCTGTGGCAACCATTTTATCTTGTTTATTTTTTCTTCTATTTCCAAACTCTTCAAATAGTCAAATTCAGGTTCATGGCTCTGGAAGGTGCTGTAAACATTGTACTCGCCCTGGCAGTAAGGCGCATTTTTGCTCTGTAAATAACAAAACATGACATCAGGGCTTATCTCTGCCTTCCAGCTGGACCGAATGCCCAGACGGCCGCCGGCACTTCATGCAAAGGAGAGCGGGCTTCTCGACGCCGCCCGCCCGGCCCCAGGCCCTCCAGCAGAGGCCCTGCTCTGCTCTGACTGGGTCTACACCCACGCATCTCTTGGGAACCCCGGGGCTCAAGGGGGGTGGCCCAGGGATGCCACGGCCTGTGCAGACTCTGTCTGGCCGAGCTGCAGGACCGCCACAGCCAAAGGACCTTTTCTGCTGGGGACAAAGGAGCGGCTGCGAGGCCAGCCGCTGCAGGGAAAGCGAGTGCTTAGCCTGTCCCCAGAAGCAGACTGCTCTGGGAGGGACAGAAAGGGGCTACTGGCTCCTGAAAAATACATTACCCTGCTCAGGAATTGTTTCTAAAACAGCAAGTGGCAACTGGGAAAGAAACCTGTTCACGTGAAAGTGAAATTAAAATGTACACAAATACGAAATTTATACAGTACGTTCAAATGTATACCATGCTTTTATTTCTAGGTCAGTTCAGTATGAAAGCAAACGTATTAAAAATAAAAGTGCCACTCTGACCTCCTATAGAAGACATGAGACGAGAAAGGTGAAACACTCATCTGTTGAGGCCAAGTATAAGAAATGGGGGGTGAGTCAGAAGGTGCTCTCTATTTAATACTATGACGGGAGGTCATCACCCCAGCTGACACGTGTGTCAGATCTTCCCGTTTTATACCTTGTTCTTGTGAAAGTTCCCCAAGGGATCTCATGCAAAGCACTGCGATGCCCCAGAGCTGCAGGCCTGTTGCACCATTGAACGCACAACTCCCAGCGGGCCTGAGCAGAGGCCACCCACTTTCTGGCAAACATCTCGTCGGACATTGTGCCCGCAAGACTCTCAAGACCCTGCTCTGCCAGCAGTTCCTGCGCCTTTTCTTACCACCGACTTGAGTGGCATTTCCTTGCTGATAAGCCCACACCAGTACAGCCTGGTCCTGGACATTTTAATTTTGCATGAAATTCCCTGTGCATCATCAAACTTAGGCTTTCAAGAAAGCATCACTCTCGCCATGCTTGTGCAGAGTTGGAATAAGATAAAATACATGTTGAAATAAAAACCAGCATACATTGAATCTCCTGACGCACAAATGGAATTTCACTCACAGAAATTTTCTCCTCCCAAAAGGGGGACATAATTTTTTACCAGTTCCCTGAAATTCCTTCTACCCTCGAATCAGCACCAAAATGTTGGGAGACTCTCTTGGGAAAAAATGTGGGTAGAAAAGGAGGTTGGGGAGAAAGATGAAAATGGTTTTCTCTCAGTAAACCTTCCAGGGTTCTCAGTCCCTTGAAGCCACCTGGAAGTCACAACTGGTCCAGAATGCAATGGGGTGGGGAGCACTGGGCGCCCTGCAGCTTGCCTGTGTTACACCACTGCTGGGCGAGCTGCGCTGGCTCCCAGTTTCTTTCTGGGTGCAATTCCAGGTGCTGGTTCTCTATTACCTTTAAATGGGGCCAGGTTATTTGCGGGGCTGCCTCTCCCTGAGGGTATCTGCTCATCCCACCAGGTCAGATAGGGTGGGCACACTCCAGGTCCCTTCCTTTAAATGCTGTCCTCTAGTGGGGCCTGGAAGCAGGCTTTCTCTGTAGCTGCCCTTGCCCTATGGAACATCCTCCGCCTGAGATCCAGGAGGCTCCTAGCCTTGAAGAGCAGGCTGTTCCCACAAGCCCTGGAGTAGAGTGAAGCTGGCACCCAGTAACGTTGAGCTCTTGCACCTCTTTGTACCAATAATATCGTTAATTTGATTTCTGAGTACTCCAGCTGGTGCTCCAGCTGCATCATTAACACCCCCAGAACTCCAACAGATCTTCAGCTCTTCTTCAGCAGCATGTGGGTACCATCCAACCAGAGGGGCCTGTCATTGGCACTACACTGTCAATCCCTTTATAGCGTCTTTCCGTGTGGTTTACTGGTAAAATATATGAGTGGTTCTCCTGTGCAGTATGAAATGATGCCTTTGCCACTGTCACTAAAGCGATCATCCACCTCCAACATCTTCCCATATTGTTACTGCCCAATATAGTTGCCCGCTGCTTTAGCTGGGCAGCTGAGATGACCTTCACAGCTTGAGTAACTCTGCTGGAATCCTATACTCCTGGCACATGCTCCTGATGTTCTTCACTCATCCCTCCCAGGAACACTACCCTTGCCATGATAAGGCATCCTAGTAGGAGTTGAGGGGGAAATAATTTACTAGAGATGATTATTTAATAATCAGTATATTATAGTAATCTATAACAATTTATTCACCCAAAGTCATCCTATAAATGCAAAAAGTTCTCTGGGCCTCTAGTATCTACTGCATATACCAAATCCCCTGAGATACTTCTAGGTGTGTAGAACCTGATGTAGATCCTTAGTTTATGTCTTCACATCTCAAAGCGTTTGCACAAGCAATTCCTTCACCAAACTGCGTTGAACTGATGAAAACCCCCCTCTTATTTTCCTTATCCTGCATACTCTCTGATCCCAACCTGATCAGGGATGGGGAACCTGCAGTCCAGCTGCATGGACTCATACTGGACGCCCCCCTAATATTACCAAACACATTATTATATTTCATCTGTACCTTATTCTTCACATTGATCCTGAAAAAATGCAAGGCTTTGTCTTCCCTCTTCTGCTGGAAAGCAGGACCAAGATGAAGGTGTTGGACCCTGACAGCTCCCGCCTACCACACCATTCACTCAGCACCTGTCTTCTGTGATGGGAAAGTCTGCATTGGACACCTGTTCCACCAAAGGTGGAAGAGGGAGTGATAGCTCTCCACTTTGCCTTCAGGGCGTGTTTCTCTTCAGGTCAATGGACACATACAACAATAGCTATCTGTGTCCTCTTCTGTGGAGAAGAAAGGGATGGGGTCTAGCAGTGTGGCATCCTTCCCTGCAACTGACTTCCCACAGCCCTTCAGGTCAGGCAGGGCTCTGAGTGTATCTCCTGGACTGGTCCCAGTTCTGCACTTCTCCTATCTCCTTGCAAAGCTGCAGTTGATAACTGTTCAAAATAGCCATTATATCAAACTGGAAAATCTCTCTTCTGGTCCCTCAGATATTGCTTAATTTATTAACAATTAGCTTTCATACAAACATCATGAACTGGGTGATAAAATTATCTATAAGTATAATCGTTTGCTGATTATCCCTTGAGGACCCTTGCACCCACATCATGTACCTACTGAGGCAATCCTTGTCACACAAACATCTTACTTAATAAATCCATTCACTGAAAATAACATTAATTTCAAATAGCAAAATCTATGTTGTTGGCACTGCCAGTGAAAGCTACAAATGTCACTTCCTTCTTTAATTCAGCATATCAATTGCCTTTCATTAATTTATTTTACAAATGAAGGAAGTTACTACGTACCAAGCTAACATTTTGATAGGCCTACCCATGTTAGGATTTCAATTTAATGTACAATTAATTATTATTATTAATAATAATTATAATTGTTAGGATAACATCATTCAAATAATAGAAGAGTAAAAAGCAACCTATCCTGCAACCTGCGCAGTACAGGAGGCCGCTGCTTCAGAGCCAACTCCAGCAGAAGAGAGTCCACCATCTTGCAAGGCAACATGTTCCACCACTGAATATTAAGGGTGCTTTTTTGGTGTCCAGACAAAATCTACTTCCCTGTAATTTATACCCCCCGTTTCTTGTTCCTGTGCTCACTGGGGAATTCTGGGAGTAGAAGTCCACACATCTTCAAGCTGCCAAGGTTGAGAAACGCTGTAGTAGCTGACTGTCCTTCAGATATTTAAAGGCAGCTATTGTGTCTTCCCAGTCTCTTTTCTCCGACCAAAAAATACTGAGTGTGTCTGTCAGCCCTCTAAGGCAGACCAGACTAGGAAACCAAAGTTGCACGTGCTAATACTACTTTTATTATAAGGTTATAGTAACAGAATCTGCAAGTCTGAATGTGCTTCCCGCTCTCTTTTTATCTTCATGAGAACTAGGGAGGGTCTTGTCTGAGGCATTTAATTGGGTTACGGATCTGCCCCGGACACAGATTTCTTTTATCTGACCATTGTCTCGGTTGTGGCTCTTCCTCCTGTTTCTCATGGTTGCTTCTTCTTCCCATTACACATCTAACCACTGCTCTTAAGTTTTCCTTCCGGGTCTCAGATCATCTTGGCTGCTCCTATCTGGCTATTTTTTTCAATGTCTTTCCTAAGATGGGGTGCCCAGAACTAGATGCAATATTCTAGATGTAGTCTAGCTGACACAGAACAGAGAACAGCTATTTGATACTGTATTTCTATTGATGCAGTCTAGGACTGTATTTGCCTTTTTGGAAAATGCATCACATTGTTGGTTCGTGTTCAGCTTTTAATTTATGAAGACACCAAGATCATTTTCACATTTGTGGGTGCCCAGCGCAATCCCCCCATCCTGTATTCATGCCTTTGATTTTTCCTTCCCCATGTAAGACTTGCAATGTGTTCCTCTTGTAAGAAGAGAGTTGTGTTAGTCTATGGTGGCAAAAAAAAAAAAAATCAGGAGTGGTAGCGCTGTCTCAATCTTTTATTAAAAGGCATAAGCTTTTGTGAGCTACAGCTTTCTTTCTCAAATGCCAACAGCAGTTAGGCTGATGTAGGACTTAAACTGGGGTGAAGTGGGGGGAAGGGACAGGAAGATAGGCTGGTTATACAAATATAAGTTACATGTTACACAGTACCTTATTAACAGTTATAGCACGTTAAAAACCCATTGTGTTTGTTAAGACCTTCTGAGGCAGCCTGAAACCTTTTGATGTATGTGAGTTTAAAATTTTCTCACTCATTTTCTCACTCAAAAAGTGGGACTTTCAACTGCTGTTGAAGCCCCACTTTTCCAAAACAATCACTCTGAGGTCTGCAGTGGCATGTCCTGGGAGGCTGAAATGCTCTGGTATTACTTTGCCCTTGTTTTGGGTCCTGA